CAGTGCAGCGTCTGCTCGAGCCGGGAAGTCTAGCGCTTTGACCTCCTAGTCCTGCGGGGGCGCTCCTCTCCTAGTGACTCCCGTCCCATCGCGATGCCACCGGCATGTTCACCATCGGTGCCCTGGACTCTGGAACGCGCACGCAACGGCCAGAGTTCCCTGCCTCGGACTCGGCGCCTTGAATTTCGACCTCGAGGACTTGACAAGCCTAGCTGTGGAATGGCGCTCCTCGCGCCAGCGAAAAGGTGCCCCTCGCGTTCGGGAAATGGCGCGTCTCGCGTTCGCGTTGCCCCCCGCGTCCGCGAAGTTGCGTCCGGGGACACGGCGGCGACTGTAACGAACTCGACGCTCTCTAAAAGGCAGCCATCGTGTTCGGCTTTCTGTTTACTGGAGTATACGGAAGGACGGATAGGCACCATAATCGGACGACGAGTTGCATTGAACCGTGATGGTGGCTGCAGCAACGGCTTGGTCGCGTACAGGCCGAGGGTGTCAACAACGGCTCCAGGCGTGGTGACGTTCACGTCCTTCGACGCGTTCACTGTACCGGGCACGGTCTGTGGGCTATCCGTTGTAAATAGCAGGCGTACGTTGGATACATCTCAAGATACTAGTACTTCTTCGAATGCCTCTGAGGAAGGACACTTGGGAACTGAAGGACAGAATTGGACTGGGTACATCCTCCAAAATAAGGGGATTTCTTCGACAGTACGAGGACAGTCAACATGACATTGACAAGAAGGTTGGCCGCTCTCGACAAGTAGCGTGTACAGGTTACCGCCGCGTACACACTGGCAGAGCATGTACGTTGATCAGACATGCAGAGGAGGTTGGCCGCCTCTGCATTTCTAGCAAGTAGACCAGGGCGAATGCGAGGCGGCACCGAAAATTTCAACACCGCCCGATGGCCGTAGCAGACGGAACCGCTGTGTTCAGAGACGATGCGGACGGTAGTCGATACCCACCGTGTCTCGAGGCGACTTGCAGGCGCTCACCGTGAGCGTCACTCACGACGTGCCTCGACCCGGTTTAGCGGATGGGCGCAAAACAGGGCCCAGACTGGGAACTGCCTTATTAAGGACTTGAAAATGGAACTCCGCCGTATAGATATTGGCCAGGCTACGTCAGACGTCGTCATCTTTCTCCCCCCATCCTCTGACGCACTGTCCCCTGCCAAAAAGCCAGTCAGTGATCAGTGCAAGCGACACAGCGACGGCGCCGCCTTGGAGAAAGTAGAGTAGAGTGAGTGAATAGTCTTTTTGGCGATGAGCGGGGGCTGATCGTCATCGCAGTCCATCGATCGTCATGAGCCCTTCCCCTAAACCCGACCCCGACCAACAACAGCAGAGTCAACGCCCGGCCGTGCGGCCCACGCGCTCGGACTTTGACCTCGAGCCAAACCCGTTCGAGCAGTCCTTCTCCGTCCCCGCTCCTTCCAACGTCCGCAAGTCTCCTCCTCAGTCCCAACAGCAGGGACAGCAGCAGCAAGGAGACGGTGGTGACGCAGAGTCCCCGCGCCCGGTGCTGCCGCCACTCGCGTCCATCTCCTCCCCCTCAGACCCCGCGTACGCCTGGTCATTCTCATCCAACTCCATCAACAACTCTCTGCGCGCGGGGCCACTGTCCCCTGCTATGCTTGCAGGCCCCAGGCCGTCTACGACAGCAGCAGGTACCGACCAGCCACAGCCCGCCTTCGACCCCGCGGCATTCCGCACGGGCCTCACACCGCGCACAGGGCTCACACCGCGCACGGGCCTCACCCCCCGCACCGGCCTTACACCTCGAACGGGACTGACACCGCGCACGGGACTGACGCCCCTCGTAGGCGGACCCGTATCCTTCCCCCCGCCCTCACCGAACACAGCAGCATTCCTCGCTCTAATGAACAACAACTCCTCCTCTGCAGCCGTCTCCACCTCCACCCCCGCACAAAACCCCGCCGCGCCCACTATCACGCCCAACACCCTCAACGCTATTACCGGGGTGCTCAACGGTGGGGGTGCCGGAGGAGGGACAGGTGGTGGTGGTGGTAATGGAGGGGGAGGGGGAGGAGGGTACGCACCGCGCGGGCAGGAGAACGCACCTGCGGGGGCGGGGGCGTCGGGGTATACGCCGGGTGGCGCTGCGAATGGCTTGTTTTTGCTGTCGCAGGCGCATCAGGAGCTGACGAAGCGTGAGGAGGCGCAGGCGAGGGCTGCTAGTCGGGCTGGTGCCGTTGAGGGCCACAATACCAACGGGAATCACAATGGTAGTAACGGGGGGAATGGCGGCGGCGGTGGGAGCAACCACGACGACACCTCCGACCACAGCCACAGCGCCCCGCAGAAACGCGGCACGAAGCGTAAAGCCTACGACCCTGCGCTCTCCACCTCCCTCTCCACCAACGCCGCCGCCCCTTCTACCACCACCAACCACAATCCCCCCTCCAATAACACCACCAATAACAACAACACGCGAAAGCGTACGCGCACCACCACCACCACCTCCGCACCTGCACCCAAACGCGGCCGCCAACAACAACAACCCCAACAGCGGGAATACGAGTACGAAGAAGAGGAAGAGGGTGAGGATGGGGAGGAGGGGGAGGGGGAGTACGATGAGTATGGGGAGGGGAGCGCGGATGGGAGTGGGAGGGGTGGGTCGGTCTCGCATGGGCGTAACGGTGGTGGAGGAGGCGGTGGTAATGGAGGCGGGGGTGGTGGGGGTAATGGAGGGGGAGGGAATGGGGGTGGGGGAAATGGGGGGAGGAGCAAGAAGCCTGAGACGGAGGAGGAGAAGCGGAAGAATTTCTTGGAGCGGAATCGGCAGGGTGCGTCTCTCCCTCTTTCCCTTCCCTCTCATCCTTCCTTTGCTAACCCTCTCTCCCTCCTCTTCCCCTCCCCCTCCTTCCCCTCCCTACACCCAACGCGTAAAATTGCGTACACAAAGCCGCCCTAAAATGCCGCCAACGCAAAAAAGCCTGGCTCGCGCAACTGCAGGCTCAGACCGAGTACCTAAAAGGCGAGAACGAGCGGCTGAAGAGCGCGCTCGTCGCTTCGAGGGAGGAGATTTCGAGGCTCAGTGCGCTTGTGGGGGCTGCTGCTGTCGGCGGGGTTGGGGGCGGTGGGTCTAATGCTACCCACGCTGCTACACACGTTACGCATGCGGCATCGAACGCGCCGAATTCTTCTTCACGTGGGGCGAATGGCGCACAAGCGGCGAATGGGAAGGCGGTGAGCATGAATGTGAGCTTGCCGGGGCATGGTGCGGCGGCGGCGGCGGGAGGGGCAGGAGGTGGGGGTGCAGGAGGTGCAGCAGGTGCGGGGGCGGGGGGAGGGGCGGGTGGGGTTGGGTATGGGTATTGAGCGGACACGATGCGGAGGGCGCTCTAGGAGGCTCTACTGCCCGGCGTCGTGCGGGTGACGATGAGGAGAGTGTTGTGCACCCTACGAGGAGAGGGCTGCGCACGATATGAGGAGTGTTGCGCTCGATGTGGAGCCGGCTACAGGGAGATAGATGAGCACGCCACCCGGGCGAGTCGCAAGGAACGCCGCGGCTGTTCGTGCATCGCGAGGAGGAGATCGCTGCCCGCCGCGAGGAGAGCGTTGCCCACCGCGAGGAACGCAGGACGTTTGCGCGCCGCTACAGGAGGTATACACGGTCCTCCGCATCCCCCACCCTACCGCCCTCCACGCTCGTTGTCCGCGGTCCACTAAGACCGTGCACCACTGAGGTGTATTCGCACTGCACCTGGCGCGTACACCACCGCACACTACGCGCTCGACGAGGCGTCTAGCGTCCGCAACTAGAGGGGTTATACACGACAGCCCTCCCTCTACCCTGTTATCTGTCGCCGTCCCCAGCGGCCATACGATGCCCTCCCCCCATCCTCACCCCACTCACTTACCTTCGAATCTAAAACCGAAACTAAAAGTTTGCTATGGACCCCTGCTGTTGTTGTACTCTCATATGCTCGTATGCTCGCTTCCGTCTCCATATCGTCTCATCTATAGTCTGCGTTTACTCTCCGTCTCATCTAGTCTCTGTCTATCGGCCGTTTACAGTGTACGGCGCGCTCTGCTCCTCTTTTTGTCTCTTTCTTTCGTCGGCTGCGTACTGTCCGTTGGCTTCGTGCTCTTTCGCGCTCTTTCGCGAAGTTGGCCACCGTTTTTGGCTACTACTGTACTGGGACTCGCTTCTCTTTTCCTTTCGTATTGTATATGCTCGTACATAGTTGGTACTTATTGGTGGTGATATGCGAATACACGGTTGTATGCTGGAAATATCGATAGGATAGGGATGACGGAAGTTGTAAGGTGGAATATCATCGACAGAAGTTCAGTGGGATGGCAGCATCTAGATTCTAGACTGGTGAACCGTAGTCTCCCGTAGGCAGCCACACGAATAAGAAGATAATCGTTCCTATAGGTGAACCGAGGGCGATTTCTCTGAGTACGCTGAGAATGATTATCGGAGAGAGGTTGCGCATGCGAGCCTCGTGTATTCGTGCGCACGTGGCTGAGAGTGCACGGCTCATTTGCAGGGGGGCAGGCTGCGCTTGACCGGCCGTATAAGTGTATACGGTTTTACTAATAAACGTGTTCACGACCTACCACCAAAGCTTGTATACGGCCGGCCGTATAGTTTTCATGAACCATTCCAGACAACCACAATAGAATAGTTTTCACCCACCATTCGTCCCAAAATGGTTTCCACAAACCATTTTTAACCTTGAAACCGGTAAAATTGAATTTTTTATTACCATTCTGGGGAGTTGAACCCAAGCGCCCATAAATGAAATGGTTCACAGAAACCATACAAAATTGCTTGTTGACCATTTAACCATTAGACTATCAGGTCTATTCTTCATAATAGATTCTGTTGACCATATTGCAGCCAAAGAAATGGTTTACATGACGCAAATCAACCAGGAATAGTCGTGGTAAACCAAAATGACAATTTGGTTTGTAAATACTAAATTTCTAACACAGTGTATATATACTACACCAGAAGAGTAGTATGACCGTTTGGCACAGTGGTCCAGCGCGCCAATTTCTTACAGGTATCGCGCGTTCGATCCTCGGAAGGGTATGATTTTTTATTGTGCGGCACAACCATTTTAATCTTGGTTTAGGCGCACTGTTCTCGAGATGGTTCACGGATACCGAACGCAATACGGTTTCTCTACACCGTTATGACCGACACCAGCTATGGTACCAGAAAACCATTCGCATTTTTTTTGGTGCCAGACAACTATTCTGAAATCGATATGATTCCTGGAGACCATTCACGCCTCTCACCCTCAATTTGGTTTGCACAGACCATAATCATGTTATTTCTTGTGTCGTAAATGGTACCTCAAAACTATACGACCGGCCGTGAACGATTTTCAGTGTTAGGTCGTGAACACATTTATTAGAAAAACCGTATACAGTTACACGGCCCGCGGTGCGCAACCTATCCGATTTGCAGAGTGCTCATGAGCCTCATTTGCACTGTACGCTCAGCTACTAACTCTAATTCCCTACCTGTACCATCCATCCCAACTATAACCCGCCCGCCCGTGCCAGTGGCAGATTCCGACCCGGACGATGGGAATCGACGGCCTCATCATCCTCGACTCCTCCGCGTCAGTCTCCCTCCTCCCTCCTCTACACCATCCCCTCCTGCTCCCCGTATTAACACACACGCCTGCAGAAACCCAATAATCCAGTCCGCCTTCCGCTCCTCCCCGCCCGCGTACCCGCTGCTGCACGTCGCCGCCCTCGCCTCTGCCCTCGAGAATGCCTCTGCCCTCGGGAATGCCGCGCGAGGTAATGGAGGCGTCGACCCAGTGCTGTACCTCCCGCTCGAACCGCCGAGCGCGTGCTGCCACGTCGCGGCGGGCTCCCTGCGTTTCGTAGCGCCTGTTTCGGGCGATAGTGAGTCCCCCTCCCCTTCCCCTTCACCCACCCTCTCTCACTCTCTCACACAATGGTAACTGAATGAACTAATCACTAACGACGCACACAGCCGACCCGCTAATCGCATTCTCCTTCATCGCCTCCTTCGCCTCCGTCCTCTCCTCATACTTCCCCTCCCCCTCCCCCTCCTCCCCCTTCCCCTCGTCCTCGCACCTGCCTGCAACCCTACAGCGCCTGCCCTCCCCTGCGACGCTGCGGGAGCACTTCGACACCGTGTACCAGCTGCTGGAGGAGACCCTCGAGGCGCGCACGACCGCGCCGAACGCTTTGCGCGATATCGTCCTCCCGCCGTCGCGTCTCGCTAGCCTCCTCGCAAACGCCAACATTAACCTCCCCACCAGCGCGATCAATGGGGGTATAGGTAATACGACGGTGGCGCCATACGCGAGCGCGATCCCGTGGCGCAAAGCGGGCGTGCGGTACACGAACAACGAGGTGTACTTCGACGTGGTGGAGGATCTGCGCGCGGTGGTGGGGAGGCAGGGGGCGGTGCTGAGTGGGACGGTGTGGGGGAGGGTGGATGCGAATGTTAAGTTGTCTGGTGCGTTTCTTCCTCCCTGCCCCTTCCTCTCCCCTCTTCCCTCTCCCTACTCCCTACTCCTTTCCTCCCCCTTCCTCGCGTTGTGTGCTCGGATACTTACATGGTGTGCTCAATGTGAACTCGACTGGCAGGCACCCCAGACCTCCTCCTCCAACTAAGCAACGCCCACGCGATCGCGGCGCCCGCCTTCCACGCGTGCGTGCGCCTCCCGCGCTGGAAGAGAGACCGCGCGCTGTCGTTCGTCCCGCCGGATGGGAGGTTTACGCTGATGGAGTATCGGTTTGATCCGACTGCTTCTGCCTCTGCACCCTCTTCCCTCTCTAACACCACTAACTCTACCTCCAATACCCTGACACAAACGAACACGAATACGAAAACGAATGCGGCCGCGGCGAAAGACACAGTCCCCGTCCCCTTCTCCCTCCGCACCGCCCTCTCCCTCTCCCCCTCCTCCTCCTCCAACACGCACACATTCGAGATAACCATCGCACAGACCTCGCGCACGCACCCGCTCGAGGCGCTCTCGCTCGCGTGGTGCATAGGGCGCGAGGCGGGTGGGGTGCAGTGTTCTACTGTAGCTAATGTCCTCGGCTCGGCGTCCTCGAATTTCGGCGGTGGGGGTGGGGGGAACTTCAGTAGTAATGGAGGAATAGGAAGTAGCGGGGGACACGGTGGGGGCAATAGCGGCGGAGGAGGGCTGGGCGTATCATGGTCATGGGACGCGCGCACGGGCACGCTATCGTGGTCCGCCGTGGACGTGGCGGGGCTCGGCGCGAAGTGGGCTGTGCGGGGGAGTTGGGTTTCGTGCGTATTCGTTCCCTCTACGCGTTTCATGTTTTTCGCTGATTGCTCGTCTTATTTTCGTTTACTCTGTGTCACTGACCACTACACCCTCCCGTCTGCTCTGCTCCACCAATCACCGTTCACCACGCAGCACGAACCCCCGCCCCGCCCGCGCCCTGCAAACCACATTCACCCTCTCCCCCGCCGCGACGGCCTTCTCGGCGCTGCGCGTGGAGAAGCTGCAGCTCGTCGGCGGGGAGGGCACGGGGTACAAGCTGTATAAGGGCGTGCGGGGGCATGCGGGGGGGAGGGTGGAGTGGCGGATTTGACTTAGCGGTATGCGTGGAAAGGGAGGGGTGGGGCGGGGTGAGTGGGCGGGAATACGTTTGGTATTGGTTTATGATGCTCAAATGCTCGTGATGCTAAAATGCTCGGGGTACTGGTAGACGCGGCGAAGAGATGGGGCGCGTCGAGCGATGAGGTGAGGGCGCGCATACGGCGGTGTGAAATCATGTTTGTACTGGCATTTGTTTGGTGTGGATCTCTATTGGCGCGCAAGTGGAGAGAATACTCAGGCGATGTGCAGTCTGAGTTGGTGTGGAGGCTGCAGCGGCCGCGGAAGTGGCACGCGTCGCGTTCACGAGACTCAGCCACGCGAGTAAGTACACGAGTACACGAGGCTCACAACTTTCATCCACGTTTATAGTCACCTATCAGACTCATCATCCATACCGACGACATACTAGAAACGCAGCTATCCTTTCCAGTGAGCGCCCTGTTTACCACGCGTTTTGCGGATACATATACAGTATTCACTTCATTCGAACTAAACAGACATGAAAAGCGATGACCCCGCCGTACACGCCCTACTCCACCTCCCACCCCATCCATTCCCCAATCTTCTCGTGGCCAACGACGCGCCCTCGCCAGCGGATATCCCCCTCATTCACCAAGACACCCATCTCACCGAGGCGCGCATGTCCGCACTCGACGCAGAGGCTGCCGCGGTCGATTTCGAGATCGCGCAGCTGCACGACATCGCGACCCAGCTCGCCTCAACGCGCACGGCGCTCCAGAACCGCCTCGACAGGAACCACGGCGCCCTCTCCGCGCTCCTCCGCCTCCCTTCCGAGCTCCTCGCGCACATATTCCTCGATTGCCTCCCGGACGACGCGTCCCGCAGGCCCGCGACGGTCTTGCGCCTAGGCAGCGTGTGTAGCCGGTGGTGGGCGGTCGCCCAGTCGACGCCGCGGCTATGGACGTCTATGTACCTGGGAAGGCGGGGACCGCCGCTCGACGCGGCTGTCACCTGGCTCCGGCGCTCCGGGGGTCTCCCGCTGACACTGGAATGCGAGGGCAGGGCGAGCTTGGACCTCGCGCCGCTGGTCGTCGCCTACGCTGAGCGCTGGACGCATCTGGGCCTGGACACCCGCGACGACTACGAGCAGACCAGATCGGAGCCCGTCTCTGGCGGTTTCGCGTCGCTGGTCTCGTTGTCGATCGATATGGGCGCGGGCAACGAGGACGTCACGCTGTGGGACTTCACAGCATCGCCCCGCCTGCGCGCGGTATCCGTATCCTACGCCGGCGCAGGCACCGACGACGCACCTACGCGGGTCGTAACTCTACCGTGGACCCAACTAACGCACTTGTGTCTGCAGAATCAAACGCAAGGCACATGCGTCGATATCTTATCTTTGTCTCCTAATCTCGTGGAATGCGATCTGCGCACGATCAGGCTCGGCTTCGAGCATCACCCCAACGCTCCTTCGCCGCCGGTGCACCTCCCGCACCTACGCCATCTGCGCATATCGTACCTCTCCGTCGACGAGCGCGACCCGGGCACGCGCCCGGACATCTGGCTCCTCGACTCCCTCGCCACACCCGCCCTGTTGGACCTAGACCTCTCCGCACCACCCACGAACGTCCTCCGCGAAGACTCCTTGCTGCGCCTCCTCCAGCGCAGCGGCGGCGCGCGGCTGAGGAGGCTCGGGCTGGACAGCGTGGGCACGGTGGAGGGGGAGCTGACGCCGTGCCTCGCGTACCTGTCCGCGCTGCAGGAGCTGGATATCAGCGGCGGCGTTACTTTGCTGGACGTCCGCGCGCTGGAATGCACCGAGGGCCAGTGTGCTCTACCGGCGCTGCGCGTGCTGAGGCTCGACGAGTTCGACGTCGACCTTGCGGACTTTGTGCGGATGCTGCGCTCGCGGTGGCGGCAGTCGCACGTCCAGTCGGTGCAGCCGCGCGTGGAGTCGGCGCAGCCGCGCGTGGAGTCGGTGCAGCCCCTTGCGCTCGTGGAGTCGGTGCAGCCGCTTGTGTTCGTGAAGTGGCGCCCGGAGTTTATGGTCAGGTATACAAAGAGCCAGCTGGGGCTTCTCCGCGCGCTGAAGCGTGAGGGGTTCAACATCGATCTCCCGAGAGGGCTTGCGTACTAGTAGCTAGGGCGAACTGGGACGCGCGAAGGCTGCCGAGGGTTTTACAGCCGCGGATATGGTGGTGCTCGTGAGGTCTGCAGCCTGACTCGCCTCAGCCTCGACGGCGTCCACATTCCTGAACACGAATTCCTGCATTGCCTGCTCTGCCTCCCCTCCCTCCGGGAGTTCGAGCTCAGATACTTTATGCTGACCGGCAGGCTCGTTTCCGCTTTGCGACGCGGCGCGGAAGGCTCAACTACCAACAGCCAGTACCTTCCCTCATTAAGTGCCCTCACCCTCTACAATGTCGATGTACAGACCGAGGACTTGGCGAAGATGATTCGTTCGCGGTGGCGGCCCTGCGATGCGTCGCTACCACCAGCCCAGCCCA